TACTCAGAAGAGAGGCTCATGAATAGTAATTAGACAGGCCAAAATTGACTAAAAATATATTGAGATGGTATATATTCTTAAGGACATCAAAACCTAAAATAAAACTCCATAACGGTGTAAAATATGGGACCTTTAAAACCTATTTAATCTGCATATAATACATTAGAAATTAGATATATTTGTTTAATTTTTATTGTGTGTTTGACTGTTAAAACAAAAAAATATTTGTTGTTTGTCTCAATAAATTGGGTTAATTTAAAAATACAGTGGTTAAATAAAAAAAAAAAAAATTCCTATTGCTCTTTTTAAAAAAGGTTATAAAAAATGTCAATAATTATCGATACCGAACGATATGAAACATTATATCGTTGATACATTTTTTTAGTTATATCGCCCAGCCCTACAAGAACAGTAATAATACACACCAGTGCCTTGCACAGGGGGGAGGCCGGGGGGCTCAAGCCCCTGCCACTTTAATCACCGACACTAAAATGCCCTTTAGGTACAATCTAGGTGCCTCCGGACCGCGATTTCTACCAAGGAGGACAACCCCCCATAGAAAGGTTTTGCTATGAATGAATGAAATAAGTATTTTCCTATGGGCAGTATGTGTCTGTTACTCTGTTTCGAAGTGACTTCCAGTGGGGTGAAGTGAATTCTATTGGGCCATAAAGCCAGTCTTATCTTGAAATGTGTCCTGGCTGCCATGGTAACCAGTGGCCTGGGGGTTCTTTCACAGAAATCCCGGCTCCCAGTCCGGTTGTTGGGTGAGGGGTCTGTTGGATTATTTGTTAAATATAACAAATAATAATGTGTCTGATTTGTCCAGCCGTTACACTTCTGTATTTAAATGTGACTGAATTTTTTAACCCAGCCAAACAGAAATGCTGGCAATATATTTTTCCTCTCTGGGTGATATATTTATCTTTTTGTTTTGCTTCTTTATAGCAATGCAAAGTACAACCAGAGTGTTACATAAGTGCAGGAGTGGACTCGAAAAGTTGTGTGTTGCGCAATTTGAGTAGCTGGTGCAAAAGGGCAGCAGTGTGTGTAAAAGTAATGTATGGAAATCAACAAACACAACCGAGGGAAGTTTGCTCACATATGATGTAGGAGATCATAATCCCGGGAACGTAATGTCCAACCACAGCCAGCATGACACATCCAGAACACATCATGATGCAGAACTGATGAGGAGAAACAGAACGATTGATCAGTAAACACTCTCTGGACATAAAATGTTTGGGGTTGGTAAGATTTTTAAATCTAAGTCTCTTCTGCTCACCAAGGCTGCAGTTATTTGATCAAAAATACAGTATAACAGTAATATTGTTACGATTTAAAATAATTGTTTTCTATTTGAAAATATTCTAAAATGTCATTTATTCCTGTGATGCAAACCTGAATTTTCAGCATTCATTACTCCAGTCTTCAGTGCCACATGATCCTTCAGAAAATTTTTTAATATGCTGATTTGCTGCTCAAGAAACATTTATTATTATCAATGTTGAAAACAGTTGTGCTGCTTCATATTTTTGTGGAAACAGTGATACATTTTTTCATGATTCTTTGACGAATTCAAAAGAACTTGTCAATGTCTTTACTCTCACTTTTGATCAGCTTAATGCAGCCTTGCTGAAGAAAACTATTAAATTCAAATATAAATCTTATTGACCCCGAACTTTTAAACAGTGTAGAGTTTTAAGGTTTTGAATGACATGAGGTTGAATAAAGACAGATTTATCACTTTTGTGTTATTTAAAAACATTTAAAGGGGTCATATGATGTGATTTCAATTTTTCCTTTCTCTTTGGAGTGTTACAAGCTCTTGGTGCATAAAGAAGATCTGTAAAGTTGCAAAGACTAAAGTCTCAAAATAATGTTCCTTTTAGCAGCATCATATGACCCCTTTAAAAGATATTTCGTTTAAAGAATCTCTCTCCCCACCTTGCCGTGGTTTTGCCGTTTATACTGAAGCATTTCTTGGATGTAAAGGCTGAAGGTGAGGTAACTCTCGGCGAGATGATGGCTGAGCTCCTCGACGCTTAACAAATGTGGCTGCTCACTTAGCATTTCTCTGTAACAGCATTTACAAATTAACTTGTGCAGTTAGGACAAATTTAAACTTCTTTAATAAGGAAACAATCTTAGGATACAGCAAAGGCAAAATTATGAAACTGAGCAGTCCAAACACTTAGGGGACGGGGGTGCTGTTGAGACACGCAGAGATTATTCAAGACACATACCGCTCAACGACAGACGCCTCTGGATGCCACACTGTAGAGAACAGAGGAGCAAACAGTAAGAGCAAAAGAGGTTCCTACAACAAACTGTGAATGTATGGGCCTCTTAATGGTAAAATGTTCATGCAATCTCAAAAATGTTCAATTCTCATTAAAAAAAAAACAATTAAGCTGAATCATAAATTGTGCATTTTAATTGGCCATTACGTTTGTGTCCTTGGTCTAGTTTTGCGATCCCTCCTTGTTTCGTGACAACAGGGATGTTTTACAATAACAATGTTTCTTAACTTTGGGTCTGTTTTACAGGCTGTATTTATTTAATGAAAAATACAGTAAAAACAGTAATATTGTGAATAATTATTTCAATTTAAAATAACTGTTTTCTATTTGAATATATTTTAAAATGTAAATTATTTCTGTGATGCAAAGCTGAATTTTCAGCATCATTACTGCACTCCTCAGTGTCACATGATCCTTCAGAAATCATTGCCATTTCTTATTACCATCAATAATGAAAACAGTTGTGCCACTTAATATTTTTTGTGGAAGTGGTAATAAATTTTTATCTGGATTACTTGATTAATATAACGTTCAAATGAACAGCATATATACTGTATATTAAATAAAATATTTTGTAGCATTATAAAAGTAACTTCTTTCAAAAGATTTTAAAAATCTATGTATTTATATTGAATGTATATAGCTGTGTATTCATTTTGTTACATTGGGGCATATAAATAAAAATAATAAAAATGTTAAAATTTAGTAGAAAATGGTGTGTAAAACATGCCTTCATTTTAGCTACATTTTTAATGCTTTTTAGTTCTTGCTTCAAACATTTTAAATCTACTTAACCATGACTGTTTAGTTAAAAATTGTGTTCCCAATTTTAGAACAATACATTTCAGAGCAAATACATTTGAGTAATGTATTAAGCATCTTCACAATGCTGCAAAACATGTGTTATACATTATATAAGCTATATTTTCCAGTCCTGTGGTGTGCCTCTGTATGTGTTTCTATGAATCAAATACACAATATAGTGGTATCTATAGATTACCGGTGATCTGCGGCAGCTTGCCTTTCCATCTCTCCAGTAAAGTCAGTCCAATGAGAGACACACTCAGGAGGAACAAGGGTCTCAGAGGTGTGGACGACAGGAGCCTAAAACACACATATATCTGTTCAAACATCACAATCGGAATCTTACCCAATTACAAAAACAACATATGACAGAAATAAGTCATGTATGTAATTTCCCATATATGAAAATGTACCATAGTTCTTCCCTACTAACCAAAGTTTAACTGTGATACTATCACCATAATGAACAAAGGTAACATAGACATTTTCAATATTATGGACAGATAAATATCTTTCTGTATACTGTATTTGTGTGTAAGTATATAGAAATGTATTATATGTTTATTATTATATAATTATAAATATAATTGTATATATTATATTTTTATGTTTAATTCATATGTATAAAATACATATTATATTGTTATAAATATTTAATGTTATATTAAACAAACGGTGGAAGTTCCGTGATGCAGATGGTATTACCACAGTAAAATATTTTTTGCGGTAAAAAATATTTATGCGGTAAAATCTGTTTGAAAAATGTCATGGTAAATGTACGAAGCAAACATGGTATTACCCTGGCATTTGTCAAATAACATACCATAGTCATACACCATGGTGTTTTACCCCTTACAAAAAAGCACCATGGCATTACCATGTTTTTTGGACAAGACACTATCATAGTTTTTGAACATATCATTATATTCTTAAATATTGGAGTACCATGTACTGTAAATACCATGGTACTGTACAGTATATGAATATGGCAAACATTCAGTACTATGGTTTATAGTACCATGTTATTACCGTCTGATACCATGACTGTAACGTTACTATGGTACCGTAGTACTTTTTGTAATGGTATGGCACAGTAATATTACGGTATGTCCAAAACCCATAGTAATGGTGTATACTACGGTAAAGTACAATTACTATGGTATTTACATAGTCGCCCAAGAATACCATGGTATTGTAGTAATGATAGTATCCAAAACAAATTAGCACATGTCCGAAGAACAGTAAGCGTATAGCGAAGCTGCCACAAAAGCAACACGGGGGATCTTCGAGCCGAAGCAACTACTAACGAGCAGATTACTAACTACTCGTCAGGATTAACGTCGTCCCTTCCAAATGAACAGCTTTATTCGCTCGTGTCTCACCAGAACAGCGTGTTGAGCGCGAGCGCGGCGATGATGCTGTGCAGCGGCCTCTCCCACACCAGCAGCCGCTGCGCGCAGATCACCGCGGGCTCACACTGCGACAGCCACCCGCGCAGCCGCTCCCGAAGCCGCCGCAGCTCCGGCTCATCCTCCGCGCTACCGGGCGCGAGGAACCAGGCCTCCAGACCCGCCAATGAGGAGGACACCGAGGCCCGTCTGCTCGCCATTGTCACTTGTCCAGTGTTGTTTGTTTGTGTTTGTTGATGACGAGGTTTGGTCAGAAGAGGCTCGTCATGGATTATTAGAAAAAACAGAAACACACCGTGGATCTTACAGGCTCTTACAGTGTCACATGCTCAGTGTTTACTGCGCCCATGGGTGACATCTGCTGGCTGCAGCACATACACACAAATGCCAAGAATTGAACTTGACATTTACTGTATTTAATTTGATTTATTTATTCAATGTTGTTTATATTTGTTTATAAGTTATACTTATATTAATTATGAATTCTTTTTTTTATAGATTAAGCAGGGAGAATAGATATTATCATTACTGGGCTTCAACAGATTGTATTTATACAATAATATATTTAAAATAGAGAAATTTAAAATTTCAGTGTAAATAAATGTATTCAGTAACATTAAATATAATGTATTTGTGTTTTATTTTATTAAGATTTAAATAAAATATATGTAATTAAATATAAAATATTTATTTTAAAAATGTAATAACTTACAAAAATGTTAAAAAGATTAAATGTAATCAAATTATTTAATAAAATGTAATTAAAATAAATTTAAATGTAATTATTTACATTTAATTAAATATCCAAATACCATTATTAGTACACTTACATAAAATAGCATTTTAATCATTAAAGAAAATATTTATTAAAAACATTAATTTATATATTGTCTATATATAATTTTAATTTTATTAAGACATCAAATAAATAAGTATTTTATTAATTAAAGAACATTTTTTATTTAAAACACTTTTGTGTTCTTTGTGTCTATAGGAAACAGTTATTAATTAACAGTTGTTAATTTTCTCTCTCTCTTAGATGTTCTCTCTGGTTTTTATATTAATGTTTTTTTATTATTATTTATTAATTGAGTAGGCAATCAGGCAAAAAAAGAGCACAAGGAATTGTTTATTAGAAAAAAAAACCATGATAATCTGACAATATATTTCATCATAGCAAAGCACAAAAGACAAACTAGATGATCAATTTGATCAAAATCCCAGCCCATGTGCTCACTCATACAAGAAAACACAATGCAACAGTACTCATTTATCATAAACAATTTCTCAGTTCAATGAGAAAAAATTTGTTTAATATATTACACACTCTAAACTGAACATTTTACAATATGAACATATAATGTATAAAAGATCCTTTCTTGATTCTAGCTTGCAGTCATATCTGCTTTAAAAACCTGAAACAGGATAAGAGAATACACTTACAAAAAGTAGCATGGTATTACCATGCTTTTTGAACTAAATAATACAGAGGACAAGACAGTGACTGTGCTTCCAACCACACTGGTGTTAAATGTCCATAACAAAGGGCCCCAGGTCACATCCCTGACCCACCAGCGTATTCTCAAACATTCAAATACTCAAACAACTAACAAACAGGTCATGCACATGCACAAAGCATGCGGAAAGTACTCTATTCATTAGCAATTCTCTATGATTAGTACTGCATATAAGCGTTTTCAATTACACTGAACAAAATTATAAATGCAACACTTTTGTTTTTGCCCCCATTTGTCATGAGCTGAACTCCAAGATCTTAAGACTTTTTCTATGTACACAAAAGGCCTATTTCTCTCAAATATTGTTCACAAATCTGTCTAAATCTGTGTTAGTGAGCACTTCTCCTTTGCCGAGATAATCCATCCACCTCACAGGTGTGGCATATCAAGATGCTGATTAGACAGCATGATTATTGCACAGGTGTGCCTTAGGCTGGCCACAATAAAAGGCCACTCTAAAATGTGCAGTTTTATCACACAGCACAATGCCACAGATGTCGCAAGTTTTGAGGGAGCGTGCAATTGGCATGCTGACTGCAGGAATGTCCACCAGAGCTGTTGCCCGTGAATTGAATGTTCATTTCTCTACCATAAGCCATCTCCAAAGGTGTTTTAGAGAATTTGGCAGTACATCCAACCGGCCTCATAACCGCAGACCACGCAAAAGTGTTGCGTTTATAATTTTGTTCAGTGTATTTTCATTGCTGTGAATACCTAGTAGAGAGAAAATACATCATCACTGTGGAAACCAAAATGTATTAGGAGTGGCTGTGATTGATGGGTGCTGGAGCTTCACATAACAATAGATATGATGTCATCAGATGATATAATGACTAAAGTGAATATATTAATAAAGGCACGCAATACTGTGGGGTAATTATTTTACAGTACCAGTCAAACATTTAAACACACCTGACTGAATGTATGTTCCTCATGATTGTATGCTTCATGCTTACAAGCTCAAAATATGTTTTTTTAGACAAATAGAAATTGTATGCTACAGTATATACATTTCTAAGTAATAATAATGACAATTATTATTATTATTATTATTATTATTACTGAACATATTTCTTCCAAATAAATTAGCTAGAGTAGATATTGAAGAAAAATTATCTACAAATGTCGAGCATACATGTGAATCAATAGACAATAGTCAATAGAGTGTAAAACTTCCCATGATGCACTTCAAATAAAACACTTTTTAGTTTTTTAGTTTCCACATTTTATAGTTTTGGATAAATAAATACATACATACATACTTGAAAGAAAAGAAAAAGAAAGAAAATTACATTTGTTATAAAACAATGACAAAACATAAAAATGCAATAAAATAGCATCTGCAATAAAACGTTTGCAAACAAATGCAACACAGAAAAACAAAATGATTCATAAAAACTTCATCGATTACAGCTAATCCAGAATTCAGCAGCTAGGATAATTACCCGCTCACGTACTTTTGATCATATATCTCCAATTCTTTTCCAGCCGCATTGGCTTCCTGTTCATTATAGTGTACATTGCAAAATTTTACTTCTTACGTACAAAGCTCTTCATAATTTGGCACCTCTTTCAGATCTTCTTCATTTGTATACTCCTTTGCGCTCTTTGAGATCATCTTTTGCAGACGTATTGTCTGTTCCAAACTTCAAGATGAGTTCCTTTGGTGGTAGGGCTTTTAGTTGAGCAGCGCCGAAGTTATGGAACTCTTTACCTTTGCACATTCGCCAGCTGGATTCAATTTCCCATTTTAAAGCTCAGATAAAAACGTATTTGTTTAGAATAGCTTTTAATGATCTGCTTGTTTAATGTGTTATAACGTTCGCGTTTTGTATGTTTATTGTTTTGTTTTATATTGTACGGTGTCCTTTAGTGTCTTGAAAGGCACCTATAAATAAAAGGTATTATTATTATTAATAAAATAGTGTGTAAAACTTCCCATTACGCACTTCAAATAAAAGATAGTTGTTGTTGTTTTCCCCCCACACTTCCATGTTATTTTATAGTTTTGATGATTTTATGTTTGTTCTGAATCGTGTAAAATAGTCCTAATAGAGAATAAGTAGGTGTGTCCAAACGTTTGACTAGTACTATGCACAGTAGCAATGCAAGTATCGGCATAGCTGGGCTAGGAAGGCAGAGTAAAGCCTACCTGGATACTAGTGCAGGTTAGATGAGGGAACAGGTTAGGAAAACAGGGCATCAATACCTGCTGGAGATAAAACAATGGCCTGCAGCAGGTCTGAAAGAGAGATTATACCCCGTACCACGTCATCTCTGTCCACAAGCACCAGCCTATGGACCTGCACACAGAACCAAGATTAAACAGCTCAAAAATAAAATGAAAGTGAAAATAAGACACGACAGAACACACATTTAAAACAAAATAATTAAAAACAGTAATTAACAAAATATAATAAATAAAATTCAAACAACAGTTTAGAATACACTTCCTTACCTCTGCCTTGACTATTCTGGCAATAACAGTCTCCAAAGTCTCATCAGGGTAACATTTAATGACTCCTTCCACATAACAGCGTCTCCTCCGCATGGCCTCCTGCATGCTCATGCTCAGGTTATTGTAGGTTTTCTGCGCTGCGAGATTCTGCCAAAAGAAACGGTATCACACAACTAAAATATCACCATAAACGATACAGGCTTCAGGATATCTCAATAAGCCAGTTTTGCTTTTAATGTCTGAAATTAAAACAGAAGAAAAGATTCTCACAATCACGTCAAATCTGGAATACAGGGCAACCACCTTGCCTAGAAAAAAACAGAAGGAATGGAAGTAAAAAGAAGCACAATTATTCTGTTGTTGTCCTGTAACATGACTTATTTTACTTTATGTTTTGAGTTAGATGTACCATCGTCATCCACCACCGGGAGAGCGGACACATGTCGCTCAACAAACACAGAAAGTGCATCGTACACAGTGGCTGTCTGTGAGACAGTCGCCACATCTGTGAAAGTTCCTATTCCTGCATCTTGAATTTGCATCTTCAAGGAGCGTGGCTTAGGCACTGCAGCTCCCTGGAGATGAAGAGAAAATCATATTTATACACATTTATAAACATGCTGAACTGTAAAATGATGAGTTCAAATAGAATCAACTACTGGATTTAGTCGTCTTACAAATATATGAAGGAACTTGAGGATTCTCTTATGGGTCAATATGTGAAGGACATTTCCAGACTCTGGATCGATGACCGGCAGCCTGTGGATTTTGTGTTTCAGTAAAGAGTAGACTGCATCAAAGAGGCTGTGTATGGACAGAAAAATATTTCTGTCATGACAACTCTCGGAGGGATTGGCATGGTAATGTACATGACAATGTTAATGCATTTGGTCTTGGCGGAATAGATCTGCTACGCTGCTGCTGCTGCAGAGCAAGTACCGAGACTTGCTACTGCCAATACATCCACAACATGCTGCTGTTAGCATGTAAGAAATATTGCTGTTGCAAATATAACATACATGAAATAACCCCCATATAGCATACATGAATCACCTCGTAGCAGATCTATACAGGTGGAGCTGGGGAAGGTGGAGGGTTTCTGAAGCAAGCTGCACTGCTACGGCAAGCACTAGTCATATATTTGAATGTTGAGCAGCGAGCTCATTGGCTACCGATACAGGAGAGAACCAATCAGCTGTGCCATGTGATGATGATGTCATTAGGTCAGATTGAGTTAGACCTATCGGACTGCGCCATCTAGTTTCATGCCAGAACATATATAAAAATATATTATAAATACATACACTACTGTTCAAAAGTTTAAAGTCAGTGAGTTTTTTTTAAAGAAATTAATACTTTCATTCAGCAAGGATTCATTAAATCAAAAGTGACAGTAAAGACATTTATAAGGTTTCAAAAGAGCTCCATTTCAAATATATGCTGTTCTTTTGAACTTTATACAAAGCATCCTGAAAAAATGTATCATGGTTTCCAAAAAAAAATATCAAGCAGCACAACTGATTTTATCATTGATAATGACAGGAAATGTTTCTTAAGCAAATCAGCATATTTTAATGATTTCTGAAGGATCATGTGACACTTAAAGGAACACTCCACTATTTTTGCAAATAGGCTCATTTTCCAACTCCCCTAGAGTTAAACAGTTGAGTTTTACCGTTTTCGAATCCATTCAGCCGATCTCCGGGTCTGGCCGTAGCACTTTTAGCTGTAGCTTAGCATAGATTATTGAATCTGATTAGACCGTTAGCATCTCGCTCAAAAATGACCAAAGAGTTTCTATATTTTTCCTATTTAAAGCTTGACTCTTCTGTAGTTACATCGTGTACTAAGACCGACGGAAAATGAAAAGTTGCGATTTTCTAGGCCGATTTATACTCTCATTCTGGCGTAATAATCAAGGAACTTTGCTGCCGTACAATGGGTGCAGCAGGCGCAATGATATTACGCAGTGCCTGAAAATAGGCTAACTTCCGTCAACATAACCAACGTGACCACCTGCTTGCACAGGGAGCGTGCTGGGGACTATTTTCAGGCGCTGCGTAATAACATTTCGCCTGCTGCACCCATGGTACGGCAGCAAAGTTCCTTGATTATTACGCCGGAATGATATTATAGTTCCTAGCCATATCGGCCTAGAAAATCGCAACTTTTCATTTTCCGTCGGTCTTAGTACATGATGTAACTACAGAAGAGTCAAGTTTTAAATAGGAAAAATATTGAAACTCTTTGGTCATTTTTGAGCGAGATGCTAACGGTCTAATCAGATATAATGATCTATGCTAAGCTAAGCTAAAAGTGCTACCGCCAGACCCGGAGATCGGCTGAATGGATTTGAAAACGGTAAAACTCAACTGTTTAACTCTAGGGGAGTTGGAAAATGAGCCTATTTTCAAAAATAATGGAGTGTTCCTTTAAGACTGGAGTGATGGCCGCTGAAAATTCAGCTTTGCATCACAGGAATAAATTACATTTTAAAATATATTAAACTTGAAAAACATTATTTTAAATTGTAATAATATTTACCCCAATCTTTTGAATGGCAGTATAGATAGGAAAATCTATGTAGCATCTTATATGTAAGTTATGATTATTCTTATCATACATGGTGCCAGCAACCCTGACAACCACCAAGAAAACTCAACTGCGTCAACTACATAAGCAAGCACAAAGTTTTTAATACCTCGCATCGGGTGTGATACTGATGAGACACTGATCGTGATATTGCAGATAGACGTCTACAGAAACAGAGAGCACATGACGAGACAAACAGAGAAACATTGAAAAAATAATTAAATGCAAGTCGTTCATCTCAAGTAACAATATGTAGTAAATTTGCCCTATAATCACACAATGACGGTCAATGACAGCTGTGTGAGATATATTGAGCACTGTGGAGATACAGGCAGTCTGATAATGTTTCACTACTGATGTACTGATGTAAAGAATGCTTATTAAAAACATACATAGTATATTTTTAAATGTTTTAGTAAGTCAAACCTATAGTCCCTTAAGACTTAAATATAATGAACTGGTAGTGACCGTATTTTGGGTTGGTCACAATATCTGCACTGGACAACATCATCTGTGTAGTTCAGATTATTTACTTTGAAATGAATCACCTCTCCATGTCTCAATCTTGTGCTCCTCCAATTCATAGATCTGAACCTACAAGAGAAAGAAAGCAACCATAAAATATATAAAAATGATACAGTGTAATGTGTATATATAAATATAGACTACTGTTCAAAAGTTTGGGGCCGGTTCGTTTTTTTTTTAATTTTTTTTTTTAAGTCTCTTATGCTCGCCAAGGCTAAATTTATTTGATTGAATGTACAGTAAAAACAGAAAAAATCTTAAATATTATTACAATTTAAAATAACCATTTTATATTTTAATATATTTTAAAATGTAATTTATTCCTGTTGAATTTTCTGCATCATTACTCCAGTCTTCAGTGTCACATGATCCTTCAGAAATCATTCTAATATGCTGATTTGCTGCTCAAGAAACATTTATGCTGGAAACAGTTGAGCTGCTTAATATTTTTGTGGAAATATTTTTGTGATACATTTTTCAAAATTCTTTGATGAATAGAAAGCTCAAAAGAACACCATTTCTTGAAATATAAATATTTGTAACATTATAAATGTCTTTACTTGATCAATTTAATGCTTCATTGCTAAAGAGTATTAAATCAATCAATCAATCAATCTTACTAACACTAACATTTTAAGCTGTAGTGTATACACAAAATATATTTAAAATTCTATTTCTGAAAAAAAAAAATCTAAAACTCTTACATTTAAAAACTATATATTTTTTAATATATATATATATAGATATCTGACAATCTAGTCATGGCTGAAGAGAAGGTTCTTCATAGTCAAGTATTCTCTCTTTTTTGGGGCTGAACTGTTGCAGAGTTCAATTATTTATAAATAAAAGGCGCAAAATATCAGGTTAAGAAAATTATTTGCATGAAAAAGGACTCAGGCCGAATCATATTTCAAGTCACTTTGTTATCATCTACCAAAAAAACAGTATCTGTTTCATGCAGCATTATGTGGATAGTCAATGCAAAATCAATGATTCAAACCACGAAGGACAAAACAAGGTGATCATTAGAGAAGAGGCAGGGATCGCAACCCACCACAGGTGACCTGTAATACCGATGAAGAATATTGATGAAATCTGTGATTGTCAGCATACCTGGGAAAATGGCAAGGGAATGAAGTAAACAAGAGAACAATTCATATAGATAAAAATAACATGCACACACTCAGCAAGATCAGTCTTACCTACAAATCTCTGCAGTTTGTTGTCCCAGAGAGGGGCTGCTCTCAGGCCATTCGCAACCAAAGCAAAAAAGGCCTTCTTCACCTGTCAACACAAACAGACGTGTGTTCCAAATAAATATTTTTGTCTTTATGAATTATTGTTGTTAATGAGAATCACATTTTTTAATCATATTAAACAATAATAAAGTAATTTTCTGCATTTTATTGCTTCCCAACCTGCAGTGTGGTGTCAAAAATGACCAGTTTGCAGCTGGTGGGAATTGCATCATAACAACAGTGTTTCTTCATAAAGTTCATATAAGCTTCTGCATTTGGATCGGGGTCTGGAGAGACATGAAAACACACCAAACAACATCGAATGTTTAAAGATGCTGTGAGTAAATGCTCATCATTGAACAGACTTAAGTTCAGACTTAAGGTGCCTACACTACAGTACCTGTGCTGTTCATTAAATAGTCCTCATGGCAATCGTCCTGCCGGGAACAAAAAAGTACATTGCATTGTCTTTCAAGGAAAAAAAAATCTAATTCTGCCAGAAAAATCATTCCAGAAATGTAATTAGGTCCACTAATAATGCTTTTATAGCACCAAATGCACATCAGTAAACAATTATGAGCATCATCTTACTGTTTCCCTTACTGTATGTAGTTATGTAGGCTATCAGATGTTAGTACTATGGTACTTTAATATAAATTAGGCTATACCATCGTAATAAAGTTTATATGTCATTGGACTTCCAAACCGCCATGGTTTTATTACATAAAATTTTCCAAACAAACAAGGTAATACCACAGCAGTACCATGGTAGTTTTGTAAATAACGTAAAAAACATGTTATTACCATTGTACCCCTTCTAAAAACTGTTTACGCTGAACGCAGCTGTCTTGCCCATTTCAATCTTTCAAGCCTTTATTTTAACACATGCACCAGACGCTGATTTACACTCGCGAGAGAAGGTTTACTCTATTACCTGCTGTCACTTACCTGCGTGCCAGTGTCCATTTGTCCATCTGAATTAGGCTATACCATCGTAATAAAGTTTATATGTCATTGGACTTCCAATCCGCCATGGTTTTATTACATACAATTTTCCAAACAAACAAGGTAATACCACAGCAGTACCATGGACGTTTTGTAAATAACGTAAAAAACATGTTATTACCATTGTACCCCTTCTAAAAACTGTGTTTACGCTGAACGCAGCTGTCTTGCCCATTTCAATCTTTCAAGCCTTTATTTTAACACATGCACCAAACGCTGATTTACACTCGCGAGAGGTTTACTCTATTACCTGCTGTCACTTACCTGCGTGCCAGTGTCCATTTGTCCATCTGATCCCGCTTCACCCGAGCTATATTAGGATCAATTGAGGTCAGTCGGTTATTTAAGCCGCGACGCTCCCTCTAAACGCAGTAGGTCCGATGGACAGACAAAGCGACGGCACAGTGGTGAAGAGAAGACCACCTATTTTAGGATATTACTGTACGAGTCCGGTTAAATGTGGTGTAAAGGTGTCTTGTTTGACACTGACAGACAGCGCGAGAGCAGGCACGTAGGAGCGCGCGCAGCTTGTTCCAAATATAGCGCGTGGCTTGTGTGATATGCTCGCGACCATTCCTTCCTTCATGAAGGTTCCAAAATTAATTTTATGCCACACCTGCCAAAGGCCAGCTAAGAAATTTCTTAAATATTGCTTGAGGCATTAAGTCATTAAATGGGTTATAATATGTATTCGTTAAAATTAAGTATGAAGTGAAAAATAAAAGTACAACAATAAAAAACTAAAACCATGCCAAAAATCATTTATTGAAATAATAAAATAAAATATTCAACATTTCATTTCAACTAGTCACGAACAGTTCATGATGAAGTATTAAAAAACGAATACTAAAAATTAAAACGAATATAGACATAAAAATAAAAAAACACTAGAAATTACCAAAACAAGTCTGAGATTAAGGTATTTTTATTATTTTCATTGTTGCTGCTGTATGTTCTTTCATCATTTCTATACAAAATGTACAAAATTGGGACAGGAAATAGTTAACAGACTTTAGAAGTTATTAACATATAATGGTGGATATGTAAGAAATCACTAAATCAGGTATTAAAGGGTGCTTTTATGTCCAAGTCTTAATAACATACCATTTATTCAATTACATTATGTTTAAAGAACATAAATTAAACTCATTAACAAAGTCAAGCAATGAACCCAAATCTATTAAATGAGTCTGTTCTGCAATTCCAGTACTTTAGGATATCAAAATATTGAGGACTGTTACTTCGAACGGTTAACTAAAGCGATCTATGATGAATGCTTTGTGGATGAGGTATGGCATCAACCATCTGACCATTACAAATCTTAAGAATATCTAACTAAATTGTATAACTGACATCCCTTTTTGCTTTCCTTCCACCCTTCCTCTTTGAACCCAAGTGAACAAAACCAGGCTTAAATTCAAACTATTTCCCAACTTGAAAAAAAAGGCTTTCGCAGGAAGGAACTTTAAAACAATACAGTTCTCCTCAGGACAACGCCATGTAGCGCAAAGCCAGGCAACCTATTCAAAACAAGAACACACTCTTCTGCGCATAACAGCAGGCCCTTTTGTTAACTTATGTAACTACTTACCATTATTTTTGCTTGGATGCCTTGGAGGTTTCACGTAACAGCTAAAACCAACCAAACTAACCCATCCGGAAAGAGAAAGAAAAGAAAGCCTGTTCATTCATACTGCATTAGCACGCACATCAAAACTCAAACTGTCAATCAGCATATGCCACTTTTGTAATAAACGCCCTTACAACCTTCTCCCCGACATACTGATATCTCACCACAACCCAGTTATAACCAATCCATATGGCTGGTTCGTATACAACATTAAGGAAAACCAAGGGAGTTGACTGTGTATGTAATGTAAACACTGCTGGTTTTATTTTACTCATCTAGCCAGGCATCAGAAGAGATGGTGATTTCCCAAATGGCAAAGTCGTCTCTTGGCAACATGGGTGTCTTTGAAATGGTGGCATGGAGCTAAGATGGGGGTCTGAAAATATCAGGTCTTCGCTAAACGGAGCTAACCCAAGCCAAAGTGCTGTGAGACGAGCATACCATGGAGAGGAAAGAAGCGCCGAGCCATTGCGAGCTATTGCGCATCGGGGGAAACCACCCGTGTGACAGATCACTTCTGATACCAAACAGTCTTGTGGCTGAATATCCAACGAAGGGTTTGAGTTGGAAAGAGCGGAGACGATGGAGCCCCAGAGACAAAGCACCATGTTCTGATACGACGAAGAGGTAGAACCCTTCTGATCTGGCACAACAACACTGGGCCACAGCTTCAAGCTAACGTTGGTCAGGCTGCAGCAATGGAGGTTTGAGGTTGGCTGCTGCGTGTCCGGCAAGAGCTCAGGGAGAAGTGCTGGTGTATGAATGGATGTGTGCTTCATCGGGTCCAGGTAAGTGTGGCTGGTATTGGGAAGACAGCCGAGCTGGTGGATGACGGCAGAAGAAGCGATGAGACCGGCTACGCTAGTCAAGTACAGGAGACCCAACATACAGGTAATCTGAAGGGAAGGCAAAAAACACAACAACTGGTTAAAGATAGCATTGCATGATTAACTAAAATAAAAACTGAAATCGCAATATGGCTTAGTGCGATTATTAAATTGGAAAGCGTGGCTTATAATATGCATTTGGGAATGCAACATGTGTCAACCATCTTCTAAAACTTGTGAAACTAGCTGTTGTGAAAAAAAAGAGAGGCTTTAAGGGCTTCCTGCAGTTTTTTTTTCTATGATTTTAAAGTAAAGCTCAAGACATTGAGCTTTGACTACATGTGATTATATCAATTTGACTATAAAATATTTTTACTTATTATTTTATAGTCATATTGATATATAAAAATCATAATTTTGTCCAACTTGTGCAGAACAGTAAACCTGTTTGTGTTTATGTGTGTGTGTGTGTTTTAGGCGACTCATGCATATCATGTGGGCTACTTTATGAAACCTGTATGAGCTCCTACTGTATTTAGGAGCTCATGCATGTTTAGCTGTGATTATTCACCTTGGTAAAGTGCTGGTAGATAGCTGATAGCGCTTCCCTCCAATTGGTTTGCTCCAACAGGACACAGAGATCCGTGTAGGTGAACCACCCTCGCTTTATACCTTGTCGCTCCGCAATGCTACAAGGACAAAGCCCATTGAAATATTGACTTTTTATACTGGAACATTATAACCAAACAACAAAATGAGCATGTGTGAAGGACTTGAACTTTGTCACATGACTCACATGAAACAGAAACGTACTGCTAATCCAACTTACTCTGATAAACAGATTACACTGAAAAGGGCAACTGCATTAAGTCTAAGCGAGTCACTGCCTAGTTGCAAAAGACAAATACTTATGGGCTATTAAAACAGATCATGTCATTAAAAATCGTCTTTGATCTTTTGAAAAGAAGAATGTATAACTCAGTATAGTTTGAGATGTACTGTTAGGATACAGTACTGAATGTTAACCAACCTGCTTTCCACCTGACTGAGGACTTTAAAGAAGTCACTGGGCTCGGTGAAGAGGTTCCAGTCCTGTAAATGTGAAAGAGCTTGTTTCATATCAATTTCGATAGAAAACTCACAACCAGTAATGCAACAGTCCAGTATTAGCCTTAATAAGCGTGTATAAAAAGACAAAACAAGTCGAACTACTGTAAATGGTTTCTTTGGAAAGGTGGAGAGTCACGCTTACAATCGCGTTGAGGAAGTTAATCTCCAAAGTGTTGACAGTCTGAACATCCAGCTTGGCCGCAGTGCCCCATTCATCGTTGAAAACCTCCTCCTCTTCTCCTTCATCATACAAATATTTACTGGCAACCATCTGGAGATAACATGAGAAATTCAGAGAAATTAGACTCAATGGTAGATCATCATATCACTGAAACTGACTAAAATAGCAAACTGACTAAAAAAAATGAATACTTGGATGTGCATACCATGGATATCAAAAAGAGGTCTGAGGATGAGATCTGTTGCAGGTATTCGGGGTTTCTGTGTCGCAGTCTTTCAATGTATATCAAGGCCAACATCATAGCGCAGGGAGATATACATGCTTCCCTGAAACACAAAAAATGATTCAAACGTTGATCCAGTGAAAATGTATCCTACACAATTTATTATAATGAGATTAAATTTCAAAATCAAAGATATAATGTGATCCTACCTGGCCATGTGTGCAGCGTACTTCTTGTGGAGTTTCCTTATGGGACTTGGGGCAGATTTCTGGAGCAGTTCCACAGCAATATCTAGAGGAAATACAATGATGAGTGATCTAGCAGTACTGTAAAACACAAATAAATTGTCCTGTTAATAGAATAAGATTTAAAAAAAAATATCTACCCAAACACAGCCCTATCTAGGAATGCTTTGATATAGAAACTTTGCTTGACCTAAAAACATTTTTATGCTATGACCAAATGTTAATATGAGCAACATGTTTCCCCGGTATTTAATTTTAGACTTTAAACTAATTTCTAATAAATGTAAATAGAAGTTTAAATAATTAAGCCATAATAAAATGATTCCATTATTAATAATAAATCATTTGTAATTAAATCATTTTAATTAAAGCAACTTAATTGCAATAGTTTGAATACAATGTTTATCCAGTACTTGAATTTTAGATTTTAAATTCTGATCATTGTAAATATCAGTATAAATAATTAAGTCATAATAAAATAACTGCAATAGCTTGAATACTTAAAATAACGTGCACATAATTATTACATTTTTGTATTAAAATATTTTAAAATAAAATATGTAACAAAATAAAAAAAAAATTGCACTAATGGTCCAATCCAAAATTGTAGGTTTAAAAAAAAAAAATCCTTGTAAATACGGGAGACAAAACAAGCAGTTAGGTCACGATAACTCAATAAATGGCATTGCAGCAACAACCACTGACGCTGGCACTAGTTTTACTAGTTGACTCACCGGTCATGGGACATGATAGAGCATCCAACGGGCTGTCAGAATCAAGACCATAATACAGTCGTTTCCTCACTCTCTCTGACCACTGCTCATGTCCAGGCAGAAACTGATCATGATTACAGAACACAACGTTTCATGGTTTAAATGTCAAATGCCTTCATTTTTATTTTTAAGGAGATATATTAATATACAACTTAGGCCTGTCACAATAACAACTTTTTGTTGTGCGATATATTGCCCCAGAAATAATTCCGATAAGCGATATTATTGTCATTTTAAAGACCATTTTATGCCACTGAATATATAATCATAATGTAACAGCATAATAATGCAAGAAGGCCTACACACTTCCAAATGACAACAAACTTTTAATTTTCGAGAATATTTAGATCATGCGAATTAAGTATCAATACATTAGATACCTTAAAAAGCTGAATAAATAGTAAATAATCATTTTCTAACAAAAAGTGCAAAGTAACAAGTAGAAAAAAAGAAAAATGCACAAAGAACTTGTATGGAGATTTTTCCATCTACAGATTTTTCCTGGACCTTCTTTTCTCTGTAAATTAAGGGTGCACACTATTGCTGAAAAACACAACCACTACTTAGCAGTCAGATGTCCGTATGCACAAAGGCACAGATCCCTAAACAAGATCATATCTGCAGATGAAACCTTTTTTTGTAGAAGTATTTTTTAAATTTGAACTAGCACCTCATGATGACTACACCGCGTTATGTACGAGAAGCTGCAAAAGACACAGGCGCAAGTGGAATGTAATGTTACAAAACATGGTGACATTCATTTTTAAGTAAATATAATGGGCGATATATTGCTTCACCAAAAATTATTGAGGACATGTACATATATTGCGCGATAAGTGGATATACTGATTATTGCGACAGGCCTAACCTTAACATCTGTAAAGCAACGACATCACTATGGTGTGTGCTTTTCCTATCACACCCAAACACTGGGCCTCTGAGGAAGGCTCGAACTAAATTGATACTCACAACTAGAATATTGTGATACAAACATCAATACAAAATAGCTACTGTCTTACAGATGGAAATAAAGCAGATATTTGCTGTATTTAAGAATGGTTCTTTTCTTCTAGTCTAACATTCTGGGCTTTGTATGAAAGAAGACGTTGAAACGTATTTAAAGTTTTTACATAAGTCAGTTTCCCGTGAGTTTCTGTCACCCGCCAAAACAGCGCCACTAGAACAAAAACACCCCAGATACTGACCGTAAACTCCTGAAAGTCAGAAAAGGTGAACGTCCGCTCGTCAAATAAATCACCAAAATCCATTTTGGGCTTCCAGCATTAATTTAAAAGGACTGAAAACACAGAAAGGCCGAAGGAAGGCGTCCTCTCTCTGCCGTGACAGCTGCGTTGCGACGAATTCACAACCACAGTTACGCAAGACAGTGTGCTCAGTTGCTGCTCAGTTGCGTAGAATTTAGACTAAGAGCGTAAATGTGGGTCCATATGTTTAGAGATGGAGGACAGGGGCGGACCTTGGGTCAAACATTTTAATAGTGTCTAATTTGAATAATTATCTTTTTAAATAAATACATAGTTTTATATTTTAACTAACCGCCGTGCATTTTTATTCAGTGCTGTTACAATTCCCCAGTATCACGGAACACCACTCCAATGTGGTACATGTTACTTTTCTCACCGCTGTTTTGTATTGACCCATCGCAGTAGTTTATGATAAATCGCTAGTGCGCTTTTAAAATAGCTTTATTTGAAATTTCACAAGCAGATATTTTAGTTATATGCCAATTACTTAACATAAATATAAAAAAAACAATAGATTTAAACGATTATATGTTTAGTGTGTAAATATATCCAATAACACACAAAAACATTTGAATGAGATTCAGGAGAGGATTTGTCTTTTTGGCCGTCCGGCGCCCCCTAGAGGAAGTTATTTTCTAGACTCTAGCTAAACTGGCACTGTCATACTGATCTAGAATCTTAATCAGTATGAAACTGGCACTGTCATACTGATCTAGAATCTTCATCAGTATGACAGTGCCAGTTTACCTGGCGAAAGCTTCATGAACTTTACTTCATCTGAGTCCAATCACGTAACCTATTTAATATGCATGAGCCATATCTTCAATAACGTCGCTCATATTTTAATGTCATAGCATAGTGCCTTCTCAGTGTACAGTCTTTTGAATTCATTTTAAATTGTTTTACAGATTCAGTGTCAAGGTCAGCAACAACATTTTTACAATGCACGTCTTTAGTTAATCCTGACAGTAGTTTTTTTTTAATGCCAAAAGAGCTGTTAGTAAATCAAGTGATTTAATTTAAATTAAACATCAGTAAACTAATAATAAATTAAAAATCAGTAAACAAACAGTAGTCAGTATAAGCACTTTAAGTTTTACTCTGCACACATACCAGCAGCATGCACTCTAAAAAATGTGTTGGTTCTAAAAAAGGAAAAATTCCTCAACCTTTTGCATCAATCTTTTTGAGTTAGGCTACTTATTATGAAATTGTTACACATTTTTGAAAGCTGATTATTCAAAAATAGTAAATTGCTCCAACTATCTGAATTTGTGGCCCTAGAACCAATTAATCCAATTATTTTATTATTATTATTATTATTATTTATTTTTATTTTTTTTCAAGAATAATTCACCAGCTTACATAACACATTCTAGCCTATAAGTTATTTGGCATAATAAACATGTAAAATATTAGTATTTATCTAATGTAGCCACCAACAACCAAACCACCAGCACTTTCAGCACAATGATATAACCACAAACTTCAACATAACAGAAATTATTTTAAATGTCAAACATAACAGCATTAAACACGCAATTGCTTTCCCTTCACTAAAAACACAAAACATAAAATAAAACTTATTTTCAATATTTATTTTCCTTGTCCAGTCCTATGCAAAGCAGGCTGGGAACTAAAAACCAACTGCCCAAATTCCAAAGTTAATTAGACAATTTACATTAAGTTACTGCAATTTAACTTAAGAAAATTAATTAACACAGTTCTGTCATGACAACTCTGGGAGAGTTTAGCTTGGTAATATACATGTAAGGGATAATCAACGGTTTGCCGTGCATTAAAGGATTTTTAAATGCACGACGTGGAGACCAAGAACCACCCGATGCGAATGTAATGTTAATTGCTACCATGGATAATGGTAATTTATTTATTTTATAGGTAATTTTATGTATGTTATACATGATGGGGGTTATTTCATATTATATGTGCAGCAGCAGTATTTCCTACATACTCACAGCAGCATGTCTAGCATATTGGCAGTAGCAACTAACAAGTCTTGTACTTGATCTACCGCAGCAGCAGTGTAAGCAGATCTATCCTGCCAAGAACAAACACATTAACATTACCTTCGCATTGGGTGGTTCTTGGCCTCCATGTCGTGCATTTAAAATCCTTTAATGCATGGCAAACCATTGATTATCCCTTAATTAATTACCAATAAAATTGCCTAAAGGTTCTGTATTTATGAATAAATGTTTAAAATGTTCTATAAAATGCACACACTGGTAGGTGCCCTCTGTTTATTACTTATGATGACCCAAATAATAGTTTTATTATTATATATATTTTTTCTTATATATATATATATATACACAATTATACAATAATGGTTATATTTTATTTATTATTATATAATAGTTTTATTACACAATTCTTTACATTGTCATTCATTATACAGGATACAGATATAAGTACAGACTAATCACAAAATGCTACACATGAGTCTATATGATCAGCACTGATGATCCATAATAAAATATAATAGCAATATAACAATAGTAATAAAGAAAATATTGTTATTATTATTTTACATATTATTTATTTTTATTTCTAAACAAAATGTAAGCTAAAGGGAATATGTATAGTATTTTAATGTACACACAATATTTTACGCACAGAACAATGTGATCAACAATCAGAAAAATCAGATCATATTAATATAAACATATGCACTTCTTGTCTTTACTGTACAGTAAAATACATACAAAAAAATCTGACTTTATCCATCTTACCACGGAGTTATTTTATCCAAGGCAAATTCTGACAGTCACTAGGCCTACTTCTCAACCCGTTCTTTGAATAATCAATACAAATGTACTAAAAAGCTTCTTTGTCAAGAAATTTACACGAGTGAACAATTACACATCCCAAAGGCTCATTTCAACCTTGTCCCCTGAGTTTAGTGTCAGTCCTATAAAATGAGCAAGCTCCTTTGTCCCTTTAGTTGAACTGAAGTTGTACAGTACAGAAATCTATTGCATCTACGCAATAACTAGCACTCCACATATACAGCATAAGAAAATGATCTTAAAACACACACATGATCCTAAAGAAAGTAAAAATGTGCACATGTCAGAAATTAATATTAAAATTGACAAAGATTGTTTTCCCCTCTGCCTATAACTTAATCCTAAATTTAAACATAATCTTAGTCTTTATAGAAATTCATATATCAGTATTTACTGTTACACAATGGCACCAGAAATATCATTATTTACTTTCAAACTAAATTCAATTACAATTTGTTCTGGTGTAGATCATTTTTACAACTACAAGCAGTTTTCAAATGTTCTCTATTACCAACAACAGCAAATCGGAAGCATCAGAGAAGCAATGCAACCGGAGAAAATCCACTTAAATGACTTAAATAAAATAAACCCATTGTACATTCAGCATAATGACGTTATAGTAGTGAAAGGAGCCATCATTGTCAGAGCATATAATGCACAGTAACACCTCTGTCAGTCTTATTACTCTCTCATTTATGGCCATATTAATTAGCGATATAAATGCACTTTGAGGGAAAAGAGAGGGAAGTAATGGCAAAGAAATATAAAATTAGACTTAAATAAATAAATACATAAATAAATAAATAAATAAATCCTTAGGCAATATGGGCCACTTTTAAGAACTGGCAAAAACATAATATGATATTGAATAATTATCATCTAACATGTCAAAACTGCATTGGACGAGCTTAAAATACACACAAAACCAGGTCTGATTGCATGTCCCAAGTGTCTAATGTCCCTTGTTTCCTGCAGTGGATGTTTGTGGCTGTAGTTTCTCAGATTTCCTGTCTTTCGTCTCCGTGTCAGAGGCCGAGTCTGAATCCTGCGCCTGCTGCTGTTTCAGCCACATGTCAGAGTACAGGCCTCCCTTCGCCAACAGCTCCTCATGCCTACCACAAACAATAATACTGGACTTTAAACCGCATAGTTCATGTATTAACCCATCTGAATTTGCGTTCAGTATCCCAGTAAATAAACTCACCTTCCTCTCTCCACAATCTGTCCATCACGAAGTACAAGAATCACATCGGCTCCAATGACAGTCGACAATCTATGTGCACGTCAATAATGGTGTTATACAATAAGAAATTCTGTATTCTAGTTTCATGACTTGTTTTATCACTATAATAATCGATGGAAGGTGATTTGAGTGAAAACATCTCTCAATTAATTTAATGGTGTGCTTACCTGTGTGCCACCACAATGGTGGTTCTGTTGGTGCAGACTTTAGCCAGTGAGGCCTGAATATTTCGCTCAGTCTGTGTGTCTAGAGCAGATGTGGCCTATGGATAGAGGATGAGTCAATGAGTCAATGAAGAAAGAAGTACTTTGAAATCTCGTCAATCAGAAATCACAACAAGACAATTGGTTACTTATTTTCTATTTCTGTCCAGTATAGCTGAGAAGCTCCGCTCACTGAAATTTCATTAGCCCCAAATCCTTCACCGCATATTCAACTTCAAGTATGTTCTAACAGACTGTGATTTTACTGCATTGCACTACTGTTCAAAAGTTTGGAGTCAGTAAGATTTTTTGATGTTTTTGAAAGAAGTTTTGCTATTTTGCTAATCAAATCTGCCTTTAATTGAAGAAAAATCAAGTGAAAACAGTAATATTGTGAAATATTACAATTTAATATAACTTTTATAAAACAGTTGTGCTGCTTAATATTTTTATGGAAACTGACATTTTTTTCAAAGTTCAAAAGAACAGCATTCATTTTTTTTTTCAGCATTTATCTTTTGTAACATTATGAATGTATTCACTGTAACTTTTGATCAATTTAATGCATCATTGCTCAATAAAAATATTAATTTCTTAAAAATCTTTCAACTCATGAACAGTAGTGTAATTCCACAGCATTACCAAAACTTGCTAAAGCAATTCAACAACTTCTCAACAAGAAATTATAAAAACACCAGGCAAAACTGGGATAATTCCCTCATTGTCTACGCATTCTCCCATAATGCACTGGTGATGTTGTACCTCATCGAGGAGGATGATTTGTGGCGCTTTGAGGATGGTGCGAGCAATGGCGACTCTCTGCTTCTCTCCTCCGCTCACCTTTAGCCCCCTCTCACCCACCTGAGTGTCATAGCCTGCAAATAAATATCAATTAGGAATATCAGCTATAATCTAAATATTATACAGTCTCAAAATGGATGGCATACTAGTGTTATTTTAGTATCACTAATGGCGCTTTTCCACTGCATGTTACGGCACGGTACGGCTCGGTATGGTTCACTTTTGGGGGTTTTTCCACTGGGTACAGTACCTGGTACTTTTTTTAGTACCACCTCGGTTGAGGTTCCAAGTGAGCCGTACCGTTACCAAAACGTGACGTGTAAACTCTGCTGACAGAACCGCTAGATTTGAATCAGCACAGCCGGAAGGATCGAACGCAAATGTTTTGAACGAGCAGAACCGCTAGATTTAAATCAGCACAGCCGGAAGGATCGAACGCAAATGTTTTGAACGAGCGCACCTTTTTTAACAACTAAAACAATGTTAGTTTTTATTAATATTCATTTGAATTTTAGTTAAAGTTTTAGTAATTTAGTTGTATGTTTTTGCCATTTCATTACTTTTTGTCTTTTTAAAATGTGTCTACAGTATATAGTTTTTATTCATTTTATTTTATTACTTATTTTAGTACATTAAGTTAAAATTAGAAATGTTGCCTTGGCAAAGAGAAAAAAAACTTTTCTTTTATTTCAAGTATGTTTTTTATTTCAAATGTTTTTTTATGGTTTTAGTTTTAGTTATTTATAGTTAGGGTTGGGCCGATAGACGATGCCATCGTCCATCGCCGATGGCTAACAGACATCATGATGTTGAGCCGGGACGAGTGCAGGCGCGAGGTGAATGTTGTGACAGAGCGAGTTAAGTAGTTGACACTGCGCATGTGTCGAGCTCATCCGTCCCAAGCGGCAACCTTCCGGTCTCTCTCGTGAAACCAACATGGAAGTGACTAAAACTGCAATTCATCGACTGGCCGCTAGAGGCTGGCTCCAAAAGGGAGTCAGTCCCATAGACTCCCCATTTTAAAATGCCCAACTTTACAGCTGAAAAAAAAATATGTTTACAGCCTGGTACAAAAAGTGGTTTTGGTCTATATAGCTAATTTTGCCCTTCATGACAACTGGGAGGGGGGTGAATTTTTTTTAGAACTCATCCGTTTAATTATTTTAAGCCTTAAAGTTCTGCATAATTAAGGGCGTGGCCACTTGAGTGACAGGTGGATTGCCGCTGCTGTCACCACCATCGAGCTAGGTGGGCGTGGTTTCAGCAACCAGCTCCTGCCTCTTTGCCCATTTTCGATTATCCGGGAGTGACGCGCGGTGACGTGCTGCCAAGTTGGCGATGGCCGGCTCCGCCCACTTTGAGCTTCAAAGACGGTCTTCAGAAACCTACGGGTGACGTCACGGACACTACGTCCATGTTTTTATAGTCTATGGTCCTTCCGTGCTTCTGCAGTTGAGTATACCATGATGTTATCGTCCATTGTGATGTTTCACTGTAGACATCGTCTGATGCAATTTAGTAGACATCGCCCAACCCTATTTATAAGAACTCTGTGGCATACAAAAACTAAATGAAATGCTCTGTCCATTGCGATGATCTAAAATAATCTTATCACATTTTATATTAATTTTCTACCGTTTAATTATGCTTTCAATGCCAAAAAGTTGTGGATTTTTGTGTACAATGAAATGGTTCTCACCATCCGGGAAGGTTATGATTTTGTCATGGATGTCAGCGGCAGTCGCAGCCTCCTCCACCTCCTGGTCAGTAGCAGTAACTCGGCCGTAGCGGATGTTGTCTCGAATGTTGTCATTAAACAGGACGGTATCCTGAGGGACGACGCCAATATGAGCGCGTAGAGAGGACTGCTTCACCTGAGACACAACCAGACGAATGAATTAAGAGCTTACCATATTTAGTGCAAAACAAATGTGAAACATAAAATACAGGAATTCAATTCATTGAGACAGGATTTTAAAGGGAATGATTGGGTGCCCTTCTGTGTTTGTATCAATGACAGCTTCACCTTTGAGATGTCTTGGTCGTCTATCTTTATACACCCTCCCTGAACGTCATAAAAACGGAAAATCAGACGAATGATGGTGCTCTTTCCTGATCCAGACTGTCCAACCTGAAATAAACCAAAACAATCCTAAAGTGGTTACACATACACTAGCGGACAAAAGTTTGGAATAATTAAGATTTCTTCATTCTATCATGCTGATTTGGTGCTCAATTATTAATAATGGTTCTTATTATTATCAGTGTTTGCTGCTTAACATTTTTGTGGAAATTGCAATATTTTCTCAAGATTATTTTATGAATATAAAGTAAAAAAAACTCCCATTAAATAAAAAGTATTTTGCAACATTATAAAACTTTTAAATGGTAGTATATCATAATTTGCACAAAAATATTAAGCAGCACAACTGTTTTCAACATTGATAAGAAAAGTTTATTAAGGAGAATAGAATAGAATAGAATAGACTTACAAGTGCAACTATTTGACCGGGAAGTACGGTAAAAGAGACATCTTTTAGAATCTCCTTGCTGCAAAAATATCCACATCATATGAAATAAAAGCTGAATGAATATTGCTTATTTGTGACCCAAATTTTTCTAATAATAATAAAATAAACAATAGAAACTAATACGACTGAAGCTGCTAACCCTTGTGTGTAGCTGAAGAAGACATTCTCAAACTCTACTTTTCCCTGTGTGTAGTTGAGGTTTCCTGCGTTGACATCATCCTTCACCTAAATCAAATCATCATGTCATTAATTATACAAAAGCTTCTATCAAATACATTTCAATGAAAAATTCATCCACTCACCTCTTCTTCCTCAGTGAAGAGCTTGAACATGCTTTCCATATCAATGAAAGAGTTCTGGATCATTCTTTTATAGGAAAGATACACGTTTACTGTTTGTTCTTTTAAAAAATATATATGTATCTATACACTGACGATAAACTATTAACCGAGACAAAAGCTGCATACCTGTAGTATGTTCCAAACCAGTTGAGAGGAGTGTAAAGCTGGATGATGTACGTCACAAACAGCACATAATCTCCTACCTGGAAGACCATGATGAGTTAAATGTAGTCACATGACAAAAAAAAAAAAAAAAAAAATATTTTTTAAAATTTTATTTATATATTATTTGTGTGTTCACTGCTCATTGAAATATTTCTAAGGTTTTTATTTTATTACATTTTATTTAAAAAAGAAATATATATAATTACATTCTGTATTGGTTTGTTTGTTTTGTTATTTAACGCCTTGTCACTTTGTTACACATTTTATCTCACTACCAGAATAAAAATGTTCTCAAGCCATTAAAAGCACCACAATCAAATAAAATATGCTTTAGATAAAGTAAACTCTGACAGCGAACTCTGGCATATAAACAATATTAAAACCTCAGTCTGGAGTGGAAATATGATAATCACAATCTCATAAATCCCTGGTTGAGAACCTCTGAAATTAAGTTATGTAGTAGATTAGCCAAGCTGTAGGCTGTTTATGAAGCAACATTCACATTTTTCTGCTATAAGCCATAGCTTATTTGGTGGCTTCAGAATTAACTGCCAATGGTCTGATATCTGAGGTGTCCTGACTGTTCATACCTGAAACTTTCCCTCTGTCACGAAGTACGCACAGAGCAGAGATCCGGTCAAAAGACCCAAACCGATGATGAGGTTCTGCGTTTGATTTAAGAACGCCAGAGAGGCGTTGGTCTTCCACTCCGATACCTAAGCAAAAGAAAAAGTAGCATTTATTTATATTACAGTGAGCTCTTCAACATTAAATTAATTTCAAATCAAATACAGATGAAATATAACAAATGTTGTGTGGATCACAGTCTAAAAACATTTTTAAAATTTTTTACCTGATATTTCATGATAGCATCCTCAAAGCGTCTTACTTCATAAACCTCTGCATTGTAATATTTAACCTGTTGACAATATCATAATTCAATCACAGCATATGCAATGCTTTATTATGTGCATTATATTGCATTTCACAATACTGCATATTGCATATTTTTTATAACACGCATTCTGATGCCTTAGTTAAACAAAGAGAGAACAAAGCAAAGCCATACCGTCTCAAAGTTCAATAAAGAGTCCACAGCTTTTGATTTGGCATTGTTATCTTGTGTGTTCATATCTCGTCTGTATTTCGTTCTCCATTCAGTGATTACAATAGTGAGAGCTGACAGAGACACAGATAACAACAATTAATCAATAAATCAAATGCTATAATCTATGTATTTCCGTTCTTCTTTCATTAGTGACTCCTGAGACGAAAGAATCAAAAACAATCCTGCAGAGTCTAGGTATGTTCAGAACTACTGTACACACTATTTGTGCAGTATGCAGTATAATTAATTGTGAAGTAATATCAACTGCAGTTTCAAAATAACAAAATCAAAAGAGAGACCAATTGCAGAATTAAAGAAGCGGCATAATGAGATACACTGACTGATATTTTAGCATTATTTATATACTACTTAAGTATATTTTTTTTAATATTAGCTTGAATTAGCTTTTATATTATATTTTAAGTTTTCACTGTAATTTTGTTCACTTTTTTAGTAATTTGTTATGTGCTTATGTCATTTTAATATTTTTCATATCCTTTTTTGACATCTATTTAGCTTTATTTTTATTTCAGTTTTAGTTTTAGTAATTTTAGTACTTTAGTTGTGAAGGCAACATTTCAAATTTTTTAATTAAGTTTTTAAAGTTTTGAATAAAATATTCATATTTTATCATTATTATTTTTGTTTATTTCAATTACATGAACATTATTTTTAATACTTTTAATTTTAGTTGACAATAACAACACTGGTGTGACATAAATATAGCATAAATGTTTGCATGCTGCATTCTGTTTCATATACTACACTTACAGAAGGCAGTATATTGCATCATGTTATAAAACGGATAGTTCCGGTCCTTGATTCTGATTGGCTGAGCCACGTTTGAAGCTGTTGTAAATTACTCTACAAACATACACCTTTGTTTACGTTTGTGTGTTGCTCGGCAACCACTTTGTTGCAACCACAACTGATTCTGAGGAACTATATTGATTGGTGGATTGAATGTTTTTATTAATATCATTACACTTTATTTGCCGTTTTATTTTGTGAAACCTTACTACGTATATGGAATAACCGTTTTATAAAAGCAATAAGCCCCATGAAGCCGTGGTTTACAGTGAATTTATAACAATGCCCCTTAGCTGTTATAAATTCACTGTAAACCATGGCTTCTTGGGGCTTATTGCTTTATTCTGCACAGTAGCATTCAAGCAGTATTCAATTTAGCCATTATCCTAACCTCCAGTTACACACCTGAACCAGTTAGACAAGGTATTCAAGTTTAACTTAAAATTTAAGTGTTAAATGTTTTGAACAAAACTCAAAATACAAGACCTTTGGTTATATTAATAAATAAATAATTACTTTAAGTAATGAAGTTATACTAAAACCAATCCCACATGAAAAGAAACCAGAAAAGAAGCAACTACAGCATCTTCAGCAATGTGTGTGTTCATGTATTCACATTTAGAAATGACAATTGTTAAATACTTACTGAGGTAAAGGGCCATGCACACGAAGACTATGAGGCCAAACCAGGCATTAAAATTGGATATGAAATAGGCAATGGCGATGACAATGTCAGCAATAGTGGGGAAGATGCTGAACACTATGTAGCTGTTGGAAAAAAAACAAAAAATATATATTTAAAAGATCATACAAACTGAGATCACTTTTACTGTGAAAGCATACTATCGGCTCTTAAGTTTTATATGCATGCATGCTAATGCATCCAAGATTAACATTGCACACAGACCTAGTTGACCTTGTTTATACTTGCATTTAAATGCAAACAGCTTGAGGTAAGAAGGTCTCTGGTATCAAGATGCAGTATAACATAAAGCTAATGTTAATTTTAAAACATTTTTTTTAGCTCTCACCTCAGCAGGTTGTTGATAGATGAGGTTCCTCTGTCGATGCTTCTCAGGATGTCCCCTGTGCGGCGACCCAGGTGCCAGCGCAGAGACAGAGAGTGCAGATGAGCGAAGAGACGCACCTGGACCATGCGGTTAGTGTACTGCTGCACTCGAATCCACAAGAACGAACGCATGTTACTCACAAACCCAGATGCACCTGCAGATGGAAACAAATGAAGATCAGATTGTGGTCAGATTCTAAAGAATATTCCATGTCATGCTACAAAGATATCATTAAATGAGGAGATGTTCCCTCACCAGCTCCACCTCCCTGCAGGAACTTCAGGAGTCCGTAAACACACACTGTAGTTGCCAGAGTCTTCCAAGAGCTCCCATCTGTCAGCTGGTTCACTGTGACAGGAGGAAATCAATGTGTTAGCATGTAAAAGAGATTAATAATCAATTTTAAAAAGTCTCCAAATCTGCAAAAGGGTAACTAAATGTAACAAATCATGTAAAAACCTTTATTGGAAAATTAAACAACATTTGATCAAACTTTGATAATTACCTTAATCTTTTAAACAACCAAGAAGAAGATTTTTACTTTTCATAAAAATCACCAGTCAAGTGTGTTCCTGTGGCTCAGTGGTAGAGCATTGGATTAGCAGCGCAAAAGGTCGTGGGTTCAATTCCCAAGGAACACACATACTGGTAAAAAATGTATATATAAATGTGTTCGAACTAAACCGTGGACTTTGGGGGAGCCCACTTGTTTCATGGTTCGTGGGCTTGCGTGTGCCTCAAAAGAGAGCTTACAATGACAAAGATACATAACAGCTACAAGTGTATGCACTACTTGCTTTATGCAAGCACTATATAGGATAAATCACTATACAGGATTTACCCTATTATACTTTATCGACACGAATTGATAGGTGAAACAACAAACAGCCACCCACAAATAGTCTATAAACAAAGCATCAGGCTGTCTTTGAGTTCACATGAACAACGGTTAAAGTTACTCGTCTCTAGGCTACAGAAGAATACCATAATCCCTCCGTTCAATTAGGCCTAAGACATCGAGAGTCACGCAAACCTATAACAACCCAGCCACAACACATAATTGCGAATAACATGCCTTACCTTAA